ACTTGCATTTGATATAGCGCTTTTCAAGTCTTCTGGACGTCTCAAAGCACTTCATGGAATATACTGTAAAGTGAATTGACTGTATATTTGTGGGCTGAATTATCAAATTAGCTAAAAATGTCAAGTTAAATAATAATAAAGAAAGAATTTGGATTTTATCGCACTTAATGACTTTGAAGCGTTTCAAAACATTTCATGGTAATTATTGTCATTTGTAGTGACTGTTTTGTAATGAAACGCAGCAGCTATTGTGTGCAAGGAAAATCTGGAGCATTGTTGAGACGTCTCAAAGTTCTTCACAGAATATGCTGTAAAGTGAATTGACTGTATATATTGTGGGTGAAATGCAGCAACCAATTGCTCACAGCAGTGTTCCACAAACAAACCAATTATTATTTGGTCAAAATATTATGATTAACTACTTCACATAGTGAGATAATGGAGCTCACTGACTGAAGCAATGGTTGAATCAAATAGTAAAGATGAATTCAAGAGGAAGATAGACCTGCACGCAAGAAAGAGGGCAATAATAACTAATAACATGGTACTTTCTCATGTCTTCGAGACATCTCAAAGCGCTTCACAGAAGATACTGTAAAGTGAATTGACTGTATACCGACATCTAATTGTGCACAGCAGTGTTCCACAAACAGTTGTGGATTGAAGTGACCAATTCGTTATTTTTTTTTTGAAGGAATTATTACCCCCAGAAAAGTGATCCACCAATCGACTAACAAATCGGCTCTTACTTACTTCTAGGCAAACAGAGGCATGTGGAGTAAAGAAACTTGCCCAACATTTCGCCCTGCCAGGAATGGAACCCAGGTCGCTCACTTGCGAGGCGAGTGCTCTAACCACTGAGCTACAGGATTTCAAAGGTATAGGAGGGAATGAGGAATTAATGGAAACGTGTATGAAATATAAATACCGTCATGGACTGGTTGGGCAAGTGGCCTGTTTTTGTGCTATACATTCTTTGTAAATCTTTGTAAACTGTTAACTTTCACCATAGCTTCTGCATATGTTAATATCACCTTCCGAAACTCAATAAGAAACCTTAAGTATTGCATGTATACCCCCTGGCAGATCCTTCCATTGTAAAGTACTCCAAGATGTTAGGCTACATGGAGGACACATCATAAATGCAAGTTGGTGTAAATGTAAAGGACACAAGAACAAACAGGAAGGTGCTATATAATGTAACAGTTTGCACCCCCAGGGTAGGAGCCCTGGGTTGGTGAATTGCAGTGATGACTTGTGCTTATTTAAACTGAAGAGCAGAAGAAACCAGAGGTCAAAAGATGAGTTTCAAGGAAGTGCATTAGACTTCTGTTGGAAGTAAGACATTCATTTCAATGTACAGAATTTGTGTAAAACGCAACATAGATATTGGCGCAAACAATCTCAAAATGGATTAGAATGGAGATGTCCTGTAGCTCAGTAATTAGAGCACTCGCCTCGCAAGTGAGAGTCCTGGGTTTGATTCCCAACAGGGCAAAATGTTGGGCAAGTTTCCTTACCCCACACATCTCTGTTTACCTAGCAGTAGGTTGGTGCTCAATAATAATACTTTGGTCACTCAATCTACGACTGTTTGCGGGACTCTGTTATGCGCAATTGGCTGCTACGTTTTGCCCACAAAATATATAGTCAATTCACTTTACAGTATATTCTGTAAAGCGCTTTGAGATATCTCAAAGATGTGATAAGGTGCTATACCAAATGCAGGGGTTATTATTATTATCATTACCAACACATAATGCTAAACAAAATGAACATATAACTAACCTGATTTTCGTATTAATCACCATCATCTTACTTGACATTGCAATAAAGCTAAGCTAAATCATGTAAAGTTGAACACTTATTCCTTGTTACTGAAACACCATGGCAACTTGACATCTGATGAAATAGGTGGAGGATTAGACTTGAAAGTCGAATTAGATCGGTTGGCCTGTGCGTGTCGGATCTTTCCAAACAAATGCTTGTAATATTTCCAAACCATTGCATGATCTTAGCACAAGACCGAATTCAAAGATCAGCGTTTCTTTTTGATTTGGGAGAAACACGTGCGGAACGATGCATCATTGAACGGTGCAACCCTCAAGCTAAAAAAAACAGCAACTTGAATGATGTTTAGAGCTCGGATCGTGGTGCCAGAAAGACAGGAACAACGTTACCATGGCCCAAAGCAAGCAACATGCCACAAGTTACTATTTTACCACAGCGAACGGGAAAGACACAAAGAGGTCCACACAGCATAATTGATCAGAAACGCTGCAAAACAAATAAACAAGTTGCCCAGACAGAAAGCGCTCTCAATGTTAAACGCTTCTCGGCCAAAGCACTATAGTTTAAAAATACAGCTTTTCTTAAAAATAACTTCCTCGCAGTTGTTTTTCTTTGGTGCTGGTCCCTCGGCTATTGCCAAATAAAACAGCAAAAGCCAATATTGATGTTAACTTTATATGAACTGGGATCCATTAATCTTTCGGTCTCCCGTATAAAGAATGATAGCGTTATGGAGAGCTGCAGTTCTTTATATATAGCAAAATACCAACCACCATCTGGCAATGACTCTTAAATTCTATTCACAATACTTGACTTATCTGCATATTATATTATATTATATTCGCCTTAACACATCTATTTAGGTTCTATTTCATGCGTTTTTATATTAATAATAATAATAATAATCCTTGCATTTGATTTTAGTGTTTGATTGTGATCGCTTGGTTATCTTATGTTTGCGTGTTTGTTTTGTGAAGTTGCTCAGTTTATAAGATACGTTTAACATGTCTAAATTGAGCGCCTCCTGTCTTAATACAACTAAAGCCATTGCTTATCCCTCTTGTCTGCTTTCTGCTCACCACAATTACACAGACACAGTGAGGCGTTTGAAAACGGTTCAAGAAAAACCCTTCATATTATTCTCAGCCCATAATTAATAATTGTCTCCTTTTCAAAGAGTTTCTTGTGATTTCATGGACCTGTGCTTCCTTGTTCCTCTTTTGTGATTATGATCATGTAACAAACACTGCAAAACACTAATGTCACTGGCGATCTGGGTTAGCAATATTGTATCAACCGAAAATTAATAACAATATCCTTGCATTTATCACGTCTTCGAGACGTCTCAAAGCACTTCACGAATATATTGTGAAGTAAATCGACCGTATATTTTGTGGGCGAAACGTTATATTACATTACATGATATTATACTGTATTAGCTATTCTTTTAAACGAACGTCTATCTATCTATCTATCTATCTATCTATCTATCTATCTATCTATCTATCTATCTATCTATCTATCTATCTATCTATCTATCTATTTATATGTCTGTCTGTTTGTCTATCTATCTGTCGAAATATATCTATATATATTATTCTATCGGTACCGCTCATGCTCAGAATGAATCGTTGAGTCATGCCTTAACTTTCCAAATGACATTTATATTTATTTATCTTTTGATGAAAATAAATGGTAACTAATTAAAAGCATAGATCATATTTCGACTCATTGCTCCTCATAAGATCCAACGTTAAGATGTAATATACAGCAGAGGAATTATAGGAATTGAGCAATTATGGTAATTGCTGACCAGAATGGCTGATGCATTCACTAACATGTGCCCAGACTTTCAGTGAGCGCCTCAAGCAGCTCTCGTGTTTGTTTATAATCCAGTCTGTAATATATTATGAAGACCACACTTGTTACTGATATCACAAAAAGAACTATGCTGTGGCGCTTTCTGTTCATATTCAGCTGTGTGTTATTGCATAGACTTCAAACGCCGTGTTATATTTCACGTTAGATTTCTGCTTTTAATTTTGAAACGTTTTCATAACATGTATGGGGAAGAGACTCGTGTCTGTTCAAAAGGAATTTGTGCAATAAATAATTATGTTAATTGATAACCATACCTTTCAAAATGACTAATATCGTTGTTATTGTTATTATTGTACATGACTTTCCACTAAACTCTCCTGCAAATTGACAAAAGGGGGTTGGAGTTTGTTGGGATAAACTATTTCTACCTTCCATCTTTCAGAGATGAAAGGCAGAAATAGTATCTCGACTTATCTGGAAGGGTTGTTATTGCAGCTGAAACTTAAAACGGGAAAGAATGCAACTTCAGTGTATGTTATATTATGTTGTACCCCCGGATAGGATGTGTCCTCGCTTTATACCTCACACCGACTTCGTTTAAAAGAATGCAAAACGCTTTCTTTCGCTTTACCAGAGGTCACAAAAGTCCAGTCAATTTTATGCAAAACGTTCAAGGTGACGACAGCAATTAGGTATTTTTTTTGTTCGCCATCTTTTTCTCTGGGGAGACCTTATTGTTTCAGAAAAAAAATGTTTGCGAGCAAAGAAACCTATAGGTTAAGGTTTTACAGCTGCAGCTCGCCGCTGGCCACGAATTAACCCGCTGCTGCTTCGGTTACATGCAAGCGACTGAGCGTTAGAGCAGCTCATCCACCCACGTTGCAGCTCGCCTGGGCTAAAGCCGGGCTGCACCGGGTTAAACAAGCAAGTGGGAAGAAAGGCAAAGGACCTCAGTCGGGCTGCGTTTCCTGCTGCGGATTTCATTTGAGAAATCTTCCGAAGTAGGTTTATTTCATATATTGTTTCTTATGAGATCTGTGTGTGTGTGTGTGTGTGGGTGTGTGTGGGTGGGTGGGTGGTGGGTGGTGGGGGTTAGCTATATATAAAGTTGATATGTTGTATGCATACATAGACATATATGTACAGAGATATAGAGAGATATAAAGTGCGCGCCTCAGATAAAGGAGCGTTGCACGATTGGAGACGGGAGGCGGCGGCTGCACAGGAGAGCGCAGTGTGTCTGAGATGCGGGGTTTGTGCATCGCGTCCTGTTCGATACGGCGAAGAAGGAATTTGATAAGATTTTCTAATTCAGGCTGACGTTGGGGGCCATGTGATCTCAGCTGCAATATAAGGGCCCGGAAAGATCCGCCCTCTCTCCTTTGCCTTACATTTAGGGTTGAGATCTCGCTTTTTTTTTTGCTTTTTTTGGTGTGTGTGTGTGTGTGTGTGTGTGTGTTTTCCACATTCACGAGAACGATTCGGCTGAGAGAGGATCTGGTCTCGTTCCAGCGAGACTCCCCGGTTGATCTTTGGAGCCGAGGTTTGCAGTGGGATTGGGAAGGTTGGCAGGAGGAGGGACAATTTCCTGTTTCAGTTGCCCTTTTGCCTGGGTTCCTTATGTGGATAGCTGGTGGAAGGTTGGCAAGAACCGCCCAGAGCCTCTCAGATCAACCCCGCGAGTCCCTGGATCTGTGCGTATCATGACTTTGAGTTCTGAGATGTCCGATGCATCCATCGTTTCGGAAGAGACCGATATAGATGTGGTGGGAGACGGGGCGGAAGGAGAGGAGGACGAGGCCCAGAGGGATAGCTCTTATGGGGAAGTGGTGGCCCAAATGCACTCCGAGATCCTCACCAGCCGCTCGCCTTCCTGTGTGGATACCTCCTCAAACAGGGATCCTTACAAACCAGCCAGCAAAAACCCTCTGGTGAAACCTCCTTACTCCTACATCGCCTTAATCACCATGGCAATCCTCCAAAGTCCCAAAAAGAGACTCACTCTGAGTGAGATCTGTGAATTTATCAGCAATCGGTTCCCCTATTACCGGGAGAAGTTCCCAGCCTGGCAGAACTCCATCCGGCACAACTTGTCCTTGAACGACTGCTTCGTGAAGATTCCCAGGGAGCCCGGCAACCCGGGCAAAGGCAACTACTGGACCCTGGATCCCGAGTCGGCAGATATGTTTGACAACGGCAGCTTTTTGCGGAGACGGAAGCGATTCAAAAGGCAGCAATCTCCGGATCTGCTCCGGGACCATGGTAATTATATTCCCACTTATGGCTACGGACCTTACGGCTGTGGATACGGGCTTCAGATCCAGGCTTACCACCCTCACTCTGCCGTTTTTGCCTTTCAGCATCCTTCAAGGCAGGCCCACTCCATCCCCCCGCCGACCATACTGCCCACAGGCGAACTCGCCAGGACCTCCTTCTACCCCCAGCTCAGCCCTACTCTCCCCCCCGTGCAGACTGTCAAATCCACCTCAGCCATCTCCAGATCGCCTTTCTCCATAGAAAACATCATCGGAGCCAGTCCCAGTCCTGCTAACTGCTCCCCGCAGACTCCCGGAGTCCCCATGTTGTCATCAGCAATACCTTCCTCTTCGTCGATCTCGCATCAAGACACTATCATACAAAATGCAGGGAACTTTAATGGTAGGATTGCAAATGTTAATGGCTGTTAATAAACATTAAAAAAAACACGCCTGTCCGAAGGTAGGATTATTTTTGTATATTTCCTATGTGCCAAGCAGATTAATGGACTGTCCACGATTTCATCAAACTTGCTCTTGTGTATATATATTTATGTACATGGCCAAAGCCTTGGGTTGGAATGACAGAAATATCTGTACAATGAGTTGTGCTGTGTTGCTAAACTTCCAATGGTGCGGGGTTTATATAGGGTATCTCAGGTGTAAAAATCCAACTTGACACAAAACGATTAACAATTTTTTTTGAAGGCAGTGCAAAACTAAATCTGTTCTTGAAGGGCATCAATGGTATATCGGCCGTTCACTATGTACAGTGCAAGAACCGTCTCTTTAAAGAATGTAATAGAGAGGGTCTAAAATAGACAGATCTCTAAAGCTGTGAAACAGAAGATTCTCAAACGCCTTTTCAGCTGACGTTTTTAACCTGTGTTTTGTATATGGATTTTACGTTTTATAGACTATGTACCTCTCTAAAGCAAAAAAAAATGTAAAATTGGATACTGGCAAGCATTCCTGTATTATTTTATTGCAATATTTTCACACTTTTCTTAAAAAATAAAAATCTATAATTTAAAATATTTCTTGGTGTGTTTGCTTAAATTCATTAACAAAGAGAGATTAAATGCCAGCCAGGTTGGACATATTGAATCACACAGTAGCTTCAGTGTGGCAGTGTTTAAATGTTTTGAGATTATATTCTGAAACATTGGAGAAAAAATAGCTTATTAACCCAGAGCTCCAGTATCTATTTTCCAATATGTAGTCCTTCAAAAAGATATTGTTTTAAAAAAATAGCTGGAGATTAAAGCGAACTGACATCCTGTGAAATGAACAACTGATTCCCAAATATTGATTGAAATGAGAATGTTTCAAGGGAAATCTACTTTTCTTTGAGTTTTTCCTTTCAAAATGCACTGTTGGATGTCGGGACTGCAAGCAGAATAATAAACACTGTGAAAGAGAAAACTATATTTGCAAATAATTTTAGTAGGTTAAACGTTTACGTTATATGACAATTGTGGAGAAAGTAACCTTTGGTTTCACTTTGAACATTCCCTAACTTACAGATCATGGCTGCTGAAGATTTTTAAATTCGAGTTCGAGTTTGTATTGTTGTGCATTTCCAATTTTATGAACTGAACCCAATGCATGTATTTGCCTGAAGTGATTCCAGCCACCCCCCCCCCCCCCCCCCCCACACCCCACCCCTACTTTATTTTTTAAAAAGGGTAAAACAGACCAGGTTTGCTCTTGGACCGTAAGGCATCACTCACAGACGTTCTATTGAGACTCTCAAAGCTTTTTGGTTTTGGAAACAAATTGCTATGTGCTGAATGAGCACAAATAGTTTTCTTTTAGTGGATTGCGTGCAAACGTGGGAATTGCTCAATACTCACCTTATTTCATTCTGTGCACATTGCGTGCTTCATATTGAAATGTTTGCAGATGGAAAACACAAGACTCATTAAAAGTAAGAACAACACGAATTCGGGTAGTGACGCCTTGTGTGTTTAAGGCACAGGATTTACGTTACCCGGAGATTTAATTGAATTACCCCCAGAGAATGACAATAAAATAGTGACTGATAGAATTTTTTTTAAAAATTGCCTAAATACCTAAGAATTCAATCGTGAAGGAAATTTCTTCTGGAATAAACTCTACAATTGGATAGTTAAATGGTCGAATAGTTAAAGAAACGTATCTGATCCAATTATAACCAATGGCAAAACAATTTGGCTTCAGTATTGCAATTTGAAGTGGGCAAAAATGACCCTAGATTATAAATATAACAAATTTCCACTTATATGAATATATTTTACTATGTAACATCGAGATCATGTGCTTTACGAGTGAATAAAACGACGTGGGGCTTTTATATTCAACCACCTGTGATTCAAATTAACCACATTTTGAAAACAATTGGGGGAAAATCCACTTGGGACTAAATATTTTACAGGTTCCATAATTTAGCAAATTCTTAAATACAGCCTTACTAATTGAAGCCGGTTTCTGCAAACGTGTTAACAACGATGGAAAACCGGCTTCAAGGTTAAGACTGAATTCAACAATTTTCAGAAATTCTGGGTGTTCTGAAATGCTGCACAAAAAGAGTAAGTCGAGATCCAGATGAGTTTCCTCTCAGTAATTTGTTGCAAGTAATAATGACGATTTAATTTCAACACACGGATAAATTGTCAAAATACTGAATCTTTTCATACGCTTCCGGCTAAATGTAACTCAGAAAGTGCAGTTAATAAGTAAATTTAGTTCTCATATTTGGCTATAAAATTGAATTTTCATTTAGGTGTTCTATTCATTCAGAGTAACTAAATATTTATTCATAGAAACGTGCGCCTTTAAAGTGTGTTCAGTCCAAACTTGATTTCCGTATCCTTATTAAATGTTGAGAACAGGGACAACACTTTAGCGTTATTATTAATCGTCCTTCGGTTCAGTTATATTTTCGTGAGTTTTCTCCACTTGCAATATTCAAAACTTGAATAATATCACAGTCAACATTAAAATAACAAATAATAACAAGCATACAATTCCGCCTACTGAAGGCGACAATCCTCCCCAATGAAACCTAGTGAAACAAATCGAGGTCATCAGGCAAAGAGAAATCAGAACCAGTCAATAGTGTATGAGTCAACATTTAATGCAAAATTATTTCAGGTTAAAATAATTTTGACCCCCTAATACCTACACATCAGTGGACCCAAGAAAGCACGTTGAAATCGGTTTCCCGTTACACTTACTGCCCTCACAAATATAGATGTTAATAACAGTTTCTGCAATCGTCACTTCAGAGCCAGCAGCTATGTGCAGATGTGTTCTGCACAACGCGAATCCGGACTGTAAACTGCCTGCGTTTGGTCAGCAAACACGAGTTTGTATATACAGTTGAACGCAAATCGCCACCAGCTCCTCAGTGCCTTCAGGTATAGTTAGAAACAACATCAGAGAGCCATGTGTTTGATCTGGATAATATTTCTTGTAGAGGAACATCCTTTCGCATGTAAATAGCTCACGCACTCTTCTTTGAAGGTCGACCGAACTGTTTGCAGTAATTGTAATTCCGCTTTAGAGGACATGTCTTAACAAACAGACAGTTGCCATAAAACCAAAGACCATCCGTTTAGCTATCTTCCCAGCAACCAGGAAAGTATTTCTGACTCTGCAACCTCCTGCCTCCCAGGAGCTGAGATTTTATATCTGTCACTTGGAAAGAGAAATCAATTGATTTAAATCGCATTGATTGGTAAATCACACCACAATTCAGCCATGGCATGAATAGTAAATAATAGTGAAGGTAGGAAATGATCAGAAACATCTATTTTAGGCCTATGGTGTCACAAATAGAGCAACTATTTACTACCATTATTCCACCCAATCTGTAATAATAATGGGATCTGGTCACCACACTTAGGCATAGCGTTTTAACACTGCAGTGTCTTTTTTTTTCTGAAAGTGTCCGTGTTGAACGTGTCTGCTCAGCTTGTACTTTTCGGTACTCTCTCAAAACAAAATTCATATCTGTGGAGAACAGGCTGGTTCCTTTAAAGCCCAGCAGCCATACTGCAGTCAACGATGCTCCCCCTTCACGTTCCTTGCAAGCACAGGCCCTGGTTTACTCCAATAGAGTTAGATTTTTTTTTGGAAAGGGGGAAATTCTGTGGACTTTCTTATTAATGTAACCTAATGTGAGGATCAATTAATGTAAGCGCTTGTGTTACAACTACACGGAGAATCACGGCGCACAGCACAAGTCTCAGGAAGTCCTTTTCCATCAATTCCTTCCTATTTCTTTCTTTATTCTTTCTTTTGGAAAACGTGTCAAATAAATGATACGGTTCTAAATTCGGTGTGATCCATTCTCAAGCAATGTACCATATTTCGGCTTACATTTCTGAATGCTATAAATGTTTTTATCGTGAAAGAAGTCCCCTCACCACTGTGCAGCCCAGATCAAGAATAGTCACATTGAAATTGGAGCTATTTTAATTAGCATTCTTCAAAATATGTGGGGAAAATAGCGACTAATGAGCTGTATGTCTGCATGCCACGTCTATATATACACACGGAATAAGTAGGCGGGTGACAGGATATATACAAGAAGGTATGTAACTTTTTGCAATCATTTTGAATTTCGTCGCCCTATTATCTACTGTACATTTCTCAAGAGGTTAGCAATCGATTAACCAGACGCTGCTTCTGCTGCAGATGGGCAGCGCATAACACCCATTTACTTAAAACTGCAATTCGTGAAATTCGCGATGCATTATCCATGGAACTCATGTTAAAGCCTTTTGCTTGTGACTAGAGCTAATTTAAGGAACAGAGATATAATTTAACTCAAATCACATTTTGTGATAACGAGAAATGTGGACTTACAAAAATCTCCTCTTTCAGTTACATTCTACCGAGTTCTCTCCTGTCCTGTAACGATAGCACAATATGCACGTACGCACATTGCATAAACGGTTGGCAAAGAAATCATATTTATCAATTTGTCATGAAGCCCTAGTTTTGTTCAGCCATGATCAATAGGTTCGTCTATTATAATGTTGCTCTGTGTATGTTTATCATGTGTGCTTTGGGACGGCCTCTGGACGTGAAAGGAGCTTGTTATAATATCAATGTAAATTGTATTGTATCACTCAGAGCAATTGCTATATTCCAAAAGTGTCTTAGAACGAACTGAGTTTCGTCTGAAAAACACTTAACTATCTAAATGGGGAAAAGGTGCAAATATATGTATATATGAAGTCCTCTTGTATATATTTTATAAACTAAAAAAACACTTTTGTTGCGACACAGGACGATTGCTCGGAAATAAGTCAGACAGATGTGTATTCCATCTAAATCAATCGAGTGAAAATTACTATCATATTATAAATCGTTAA